ATATATATATATCTTAAATATACAAATAATCTTACTTCTTTTGTCGAGATAGAATTCTTGATTTCGGTGACAGTAGATGCTGTTGAAGTGTTAGGAACTGTTGTAACTAATAACTTCATTGGTTTGTTATCAAAAGCTTTTTTCAAAATATTTGGACTCCGTGACGTAGATGTATTAGAATTTGGATTTAAAATTTTTGATTGAATTTGGTCTGTTCTAATTGCTATAACTTTCCTCGATGGTCCTTTTCGCGAAGCAACTTGAAGGCGTTTAATCGACGAACCTTTCGTCAAATTCAAAGCAATTTTTCCGGCTTCTGTAATCATATAAATCATCTTAGAACATTATATTCTGATATTAGTTTTTAAATATTATTTCAAATGTACAAAAACGGACCTGTTAAAACTACTGTTCTCCCACTTTCCATTGCCTTTTCTACAATAGACGATTCATCATCTACAGGTATCATTCTGATTCCATGTGCTTCTAATAATCTAAACTGTTTGCCTATCGATAAGATATCTTTATGTTTCTTATTATTCATAATATTATTCGCATTAATTATTTCAACATCTTCAATTTCTTTTTCTTGTTCGCCATCTGTATTATTTGGTGATACAGAAATTTGTTGAAAGATCATTTTTTGTTTTTTCTCCATTTGCGCTAGAAATTATAAATACACAAAATAGAATTCGAAATAGAAAAAAGCATTTGTAAATAAATATTTACATTGAAAAATATATTGGCATTTACCTTGAGAAAGTTTACGTTTACGTGGAGATTGTTGCTGCTGTGTTGTTCCAAACTTTTGTTCCTCTTCTATTATCGAACTTTTGCTATTATTAGCTTCTAATTGTACTAAATTATTCGTGGCTACTTCCAATTCTACAGAATTAACCTGATTCTGTTGATGAGCTTGAATACCTATTAGCTCTCGTTCTTGTTGTAATATATCCACAAAATCTAGCCTATCGTGTTCCAATGCAAGACTGACTGGAGTTTTTTCAAATTTACTAGTTGCACTCGTATCAGCTCCATGATCTAGTAAAATGTGCATTACATCTATGTGTTCACGTTCTACTGCCCAATGCAATGGAGTCATTTTTAACTAAAATTATTTTTCATGTTAATTATCTGGTGCTAGAAGTTAATAAATGATATTTGATATTGTACCATGTCTCTGCTATTGACGTCTGCTCCATAGTTAAGCAGCAACTGTACCATCTGATGATGACCTTCATATGCTGCCATATGTAAGGGAGTTCTATCGACCTTTGTCCTAGCATCCCTTGATATCCCTGCTCTAAGTAAAACATCAGCAGTATCTATGTGATTGTTCTGTGCGGCGAGATGGAGCGCACTTGTACCAAGCTAAAAGACAAGTATATATGTATACCTATTGTTATAGATAAAATTTACAAAGAATACAAACACTTTTTAAATGCTAAAGCACATACCCAATCTGTGGTAAATGGTGCACCCCTACACATGAGCTCACGAACAGCTTCAGTATCACCATTTTTAGCATTATGTAAAAGCTGTTTACCAAGTTCCACCATAGTCGAGGCATCCTGTGGTCTCGAATGAGAGGAGACATCGCAAGCCAAAAGTTCCACCTAATGACAATAGCATGACCATTAGATAATGGCTACGATTACATCGTGCGCTTAGTCTGCAACCTAAACGATAAGCATCCTTGTTTAACTGATAGATTAAACAAAGACGCTTATTGTATAGGCGATGGACTAAGTACACAGTGTAAACCAGGTTATTAACAATAGCTTCATGTAAAATCAGATAGTATATTCTTTATACATCTTCAATATAAAAGAAGGATACTTACTGGTATGAGAGTATCCGTATCCAAACTCTCAATATCGTTGGCACATATGCTTTCCTGCATAGATTGCATTCTTGAATATCCAGCTCAGTCACCTTCGTGCAAGCAGGCTCTAAAATTATATTATCCATAACTTGTCACAATCACTGTGGATTTTTCTGACCGATGGGAATCGAACTGAGTGACTAATTTTCGGGCATTAATCGCTGTCGTTCGACCTTGGGTCAGCTGAATCCGAAAGTAGGCCGTAAAAATAACGAGCTCGCCGACGAAGAAACACGTGCGGCCAAATACATTTGATTTGCTCCTCGCGGTGTATCACGTGCGCGTGATGCGTTTATTCCTCGAAATTTTTGCATCGCTACAGGATGTTTTTATTTCGCCGTCTCGGGGTCGCGAGGAACTTCCTGTTCCTGTTTCATCGAACGGAAGTTCCATGCCATAGGCCCTGTGTTACGTGCCCGAAAAAAAAACTAACGGATCGGAACAGGATGTCATACTTACGACCAGCACATTATTCTCGTCGTTCTCGCGATTTTTCCGACGATCCACCGATGAGCGTGCGATGTCTGCTAGAATTCTTCCTCGTCACAGTCTCCGCGATTTACGGTCACGGTAAAGTTTCATGAAAATGGCGGCGCATTGGCGCCATTCCTAGCACCGTCCGGTCCGGCTCAGATGATAAAAGCGTTTCTTACCTGTGCGACGAGATGCCGCCTATCTCGTGTATTTACATGGACTGGCTGGATATCAGGAATGGATATGAGGAATTCAGATTGCATTTGTATCTGTCATACGATATACGTTGGCATTTAATAGGATAATCTAGGGTTATTAAGAAGTACGAAAATAATATCTAAATGTAAAAAATCTAAAATGACGAACATAACATTAAAAAAGTTTTAATATCTTCAAACTCAAATGAAATTAAGTTGCCAGAGAGAAATCTGAGAGTGGACATCCAGTATTCTTATTTATATTCTTATCTATATATACTGTGTCCTGGCTTTTTTCGTGTACACTGCAGTGCATTAATTCGCTGGGTCATAGTAGCGACCCGACTTATCGACGTTTATTTTTTATTCAAATACTATCAACTTTACAGAAAAACTGCAACAGACAAAAATTATTTATTTTCTTCTCATAGAACTCTAAGAATTTTTTCTGAATTTTTTAGTACTGCATTTTCTTATTTTCGATAAGTTGGGCCGCTACTATGACCCAGCGAATTATGCACTACACTGTACCACCGACGAGATATTATTAAAGACCGAATCGGCTTTAGGCAAATTTTCATGATTATCAATGGAGGCCCAGGGATAATTGAAGAACAATGACATTACCGACAATGAATAAAGTTTATTAATAGTCGATATTAATAATTAATATAAATATTTGATAATTTATTATTAAATTTTTTTTTATATAAATGCTGTATAAATAAATACCCACGCAACACATGTAACAGTTTGACGGCTATATATAATTGTCGACTTTTTTTAATCAACTTTAAGTTGACTTGTAAGATCGACATTTAATCGACTGTTCTAGGATAGGTTGATGCGATTTTGAATGTCGACTGTAAGTCGACTTCAAGTCGACTATCTTCAAAAAGTTAAAAGCCACTTTTCTATATCCGACTTTCAGTCGATTTATATTGTCAACTTTCTATTTATTACTATATTATTAACAGGATTCGATCTTGTTTCAAATAAATTTATTTAAAATATATTTTAAATAAAGAAGAAATTAAAAAGTTATTTAGTATTTATTATTTAAAATAAAAATATTTTAAATAAATTTATTTGAAGTCAACATTTAGAGATACTGGAGAGATATTGGAGCCTTTGCTCCAGTTTGTCATGGAAAAAGAAATATTTTTATCGCTTTTTAAGCTGTAACGGCTCAATTTATCCTTTATCCTAACTAATAAATTCTCAAATTGTTTGATACAAGTTTGTGACAAACTGGATTCCCGATTTCAACCGAGGAATTTGGCAAAATTATTTTATGTCGAGGGACATCATGTAATCTACTATTGACTGAAGTATTTAATCTTCTTATCTTATTATAATCTTGATACTTTTACTAACGTTTGAATTCTTTATATACTGACACTTCACCACTGATGGTTTTTTTTTCATTTTCATTGTATTTGTTATTTATTTGATTTGTTGATTTAATATTGTATTTCTGCGTTTTAACAGTAATAGAGTTTGCGTACATGTCCTCCTAATTCAAAATCTATTTACTAAATGGAGTGTCGTGTGTCAAAAGTCAAACGGAAAGAAAATTAGGAAAGCTCTTGGAGACCTGATTATCTCGTTAGTTAGGGTATGCTAACATTCCTCTTGACCAGTTATAAAGAATTTGTTAATCATACGTTACGGATTTTTATGCAAAAAAATACGTAATAATAGAGATTATCTATACTCCCGCTGTATCATTTGGAAGTCAATTAAATGAAGAGGATGTATAGGATATTTAACAGCGTCCGATTGAAAATTCGCTTTTAGATTAAAAATAAAATATGTGCAAAATCTCTGCATGAAAGCTGGAATATGATTAATTAACGTAGCTATAATGAGCTATAAAATATACGTTTTTATCAACAATGCGCGCTTTTGTTTCTGAAATTCTTTATACGTACGTAACGTAAATTGTACGCCACATGAGCGTTAATTGCATTCTGAATACATTTTGCACACAGGCCATTACAGACATGATTTGATTACTTCCACATGCATTTCATCCTGAAATATAGTTATTATTTCTCAATTATTTATATCGTATCGTACTGTTTTAGCTTCAATTCGTATCATTATTTTTTCATTATCATTCGTGTCATTTTTCATTTGAATGATTAAATGTATTCAGTCATTCGGAGAGTTTATCTGATATGTTCCGATATGTATTGAAGCACAAAAAACATTTTTGAAATTAATTGCAATATGAGAATTTCTTTAACAAAAATAGTTTTGTATATTTTGTCTGACTTTGAATCGATACATAAAAAATACATAAAAAATAATTCTGTAATTTTTATGTCACGAAATCAATTGTAATTGCTGCTTTATAACACAAGATAATATTCTTAGCTTGTTTCACTTCCTGGCACACCCATGCTAATAGATGATTGCCATATTGGAAATATAAATAAATGTTGTGAGCGCGCGCGACGCGCGTTATAAAAATGTATTTCCAGAAACAATTGAGTTCCAGAGACAATATTTGTTATATTACATTACGCAGTAATCTTACAATAAGATCTTATAATAAGATTTGGAAATATTATTTCACGTTTCAACTTAAAATTTTTCCATCGATAACTTTATCATTTCTTGAAAAATTCTTAAGAACGTGAGAGATTTACATAAAATTCTGTGAAATACAATGTTGTCCCACGACTATCATATTTTCAGGGTAACTGAGGGGAAAAATTCTCTCCGTGTATAAATGTACACAATATTACTTTACAGTATACATATACATTTTGATTTTATTGCGACTTCGGTAACTATATATGTTTTGTTTGTTGTAACATACGTGCACACGTACGTTTATAAACGTATACTTGTACATGCGATTGTGTTAATTTAAATTAATATCTATTAAATTAATATATTGTATTTATTAAATTAATATATCTATTAAATTAATATTAATATTATATTTAATATCAAGTACTAATTAATATCATTTTTTATATTTTACACGCCTTAAAGACGTATTTTCGTTTACCTCGAGCGCCGAAATGTCTAATTCCGATTTTGTATTGTTACGTGCCCGAGGCATTGCGTGCCTAGGTGGATAGAATGTGAACTATGTTTGCCTGTATGCGTCAGCCTCTCACCTCTTGCAAATAAGGCGTATATATGCAAAGATACTACGCGGACGGACCGGTAGAAATATTTCGACAAATAACGGGATTTACATGCAGGCATGTGCACGTGCATACGTATGACGCCGCGTTAGTGCAAGGATGGATGGAATACTTTATTGATCGCAGCCTCGCACAAAACTGTGACTATCCATTTATGAATTGAATTGATTTCACACGATTATACAGTAACGCTGTTGTGACTCGTGGTGCTATTGCCTAAATATTCAATCTTTACTTTTTACTCGAATAATTGAGTGACACCTTGATAACCGACGAAAATCTGCGAAGTTTGTGAGCAATTATTTCGCTCTCACGAACGTGGTGCATTACGAATCATAAATTTTTATAATCAGGACAGTTCGCGATTTGGATGATTCTCAGCGCGAAAGAAGTATATTGTATCGACAGCGCATTTGCATGAAAACTGCTGATTCTTCTGACCTTCGTGGTCTGTTTACCACTAATATAGCGTAGTCTGCTGCATGATGCATTCGTGCGGACGCTTACCTGCTCGCGCTGCGTCGGCATTGCTCTGATCTGACGCAGCCAGGCCTTTCCTAAGAATCTGTAGCACCAGAATCTCTTCGCAACCGTTAAACAGCGTTAGAATTTTTTTATTATTCACTTTGACTGTATCATAACATTATAAGTTAATCCACAAAAAGCATATCAATTCCAATATATGAATGTGCAATATGAAACGTGATACATCGAAAATTCGGTATAATTGACATGATACGTCTGCGTTTCGTCGAATCATGTCTCGTTTTAAATTAAAATAGCAAATAATTAAGGTGTCCTTCATGTTTCTCTATATTTCCGATTCCGAGAGAGATGATTATCCCGAAACATTTTTCAAAATTTTAAATAAAAACCGTGGAGAAGATTTTATTGGATACTTTCCTCTCGAACGGCAGGAGGTTCATTTTCAGTATTTATATTCTTATAGGTTTTTTTATAATTAATCTTTATTACAATTAATAAAATTCCTTTATTTATTAAATTATAAAATTCAATTTGTAAGAAAATTTTCAATAAAACCTTGGTAACAAGATTATTGGAGTTAACATATTTATTAAGAGAACATATATAAATTTTGTATTCGTTAAAAATGTCTAATCAAAATAAATATAAGCGTCTTACTTAAATAATTCTTTACATTTGTATATCAAAACGACCATTTATGCATTTTAGAAATTTAATCTCAAATGTAGATAAAATTATTTTCTTTTATGCAAAATAAAACTAATTTTTAACATTTTTTAAAACGCATAAATATCATTTGAATTAATATTGTGGAAAAGATCGTTAGAATGTTATTACAACAATTAAAATAATATTTGACAGTTTGAACAGCTTCGTATGATGATGTGTCACAGATTTAAAAAAAATGTATATTTATACTACAATACATATATTATTACTGCTCGGATGATTTATTCGTAATAAAAAGCAATTATAGAAATATTTAAGTATGATATTCTCATATATCGATTTGGAGAGCATCAAATGAAATATTAATTATAATTATTTTTTGTTCATTATTACAGTAGAAACCGTATTATCATTTCACTAAATCGAAACGAGATATTATCATATACGAGTCATAATACCTGGGATTCTGACACTTGCTTTCTCGTTTGAACGGTTGTTCTATTAGCAGAGACGTATTTTATAATCGAAACGCGCGATAATTTTATTCGATATGACTGCGTTGATAATTAACTGCATTGTCGT